CGCCCCGCCCCGCACGCCGAGCCACCCGGCCAGCACTGACCGGCGACCGCGGCCGGGCGGGGCGTCACCCGGGCCAGGTCCCCCAGCCCAGGACCTCCCGGAAACGCCAGGCAGCGCGGGGCCCTGGGCGGACGACTGGCTCCCTCACAGTCTGGAGCCGCCAAGCAGTCACTCCGCAAACCTCCCGTCGCGGTGCTCCGCGGAGCCCCCGGAGCTTCCCCAGCCGGCACCCTCAACCATCAGCCGAGCCCGGACACCCCCTCCCTGACGCGCCTGCAGACGGCGACCCTCGGGCCACTCTGTCCCTTTCTAATCCTCAACCCCCGCACCTGCCTCGCCTCAGCCCCGTCCCGGGTCGCCTTCGGGGCCTCTCAAGGTCAAGCCCTGGTCGCCAGTCCCGCTTCCCCGCTCGCCGCTACCCCCTCACGTCGAACATTCATCGGCGTTCTGAGCACTTCTCGGTGCCATAAACGGGCCTAGCTTGCCGGCCTCAACCTTCACACATCCTGTTCCTTTTCCCCTGGTAACTCCTGCTCTTCAAATTTTCCACTCCATCACCTCCTCCAGGAAGTCTACCTAGACTTCTGCTCTCCTGGCTGGTTTACCTTGTGATTTTATTGTCTGATTCCGACTCCACTCACCTTTACTCAGAGGCCACGCCTATCTTTTCATTGTTCCTTTTCTGTAGTTGTTTTTTTTTTTTAATTTTTGGTGAAAACATACACAGCAAAATCTGCTCCCACTCCAGTTTCTAGGCATAATGATCAGTCACATTGGTTACATTCTTGACACTGTGTCAACATTCTCATTATTTCTGTTCTAGTTGTTTCACTTCCCCTTCCTTGGTCTCCCTGCCCCCCAGCTGTGCTTTAAAATAGCTGTTGACCCTTTGGGCTTAGCAATACTCAAGGGTAACAATCTACTCTTTGGGCTAAAAATTGTTACTTAATTTAAAGTTGACTTCAGGTGACAGTTTCAATTCAAGGTTTGAAGAGCAACTCTGGGCCACAGTCTCAGGATCCAGGAAGTCTGGATTCTTTAAGAATTTGAAGCTCTGTTCCGTATTTTCTCCCTTTTAATCAGGATTCCTCTATTATTCTCCTGATCAGAACATTCAGTAGCGGTAGCCAGGCACCATCTAGATTTTCTGGTCTCAAGGTGGAGAAGATAGTGGTTCATGTGGACAATTAGTCCGGTAGTCCACCTTCCTGGTTAGGTTTCCTTCTTTCCCTTTTGTTCCAGATGAATAAAGACCAGTAGTTGTATCTTAGATGGCTGCTCATAAGCTTTTAAGACCCCAGACACTACTCACCATACTGGGAGGTAGAACATAAACTTTGAGAACGATATTATGCCAACTGACGGGATTGTTCTGTAAGCCCATGGCCCTAAGTCACTAAACCAAGCGAACTAATCCCATGATATGAGATGACTGGTTATGTGTAATTAGTATCCGCATCTGTAGCCCCCCCCCCCGCCTCACTTTTTTTTGGTCGTTGTTGCAAAATCATACACAACCTAGCATTTACTCATTCATCCCTTTTCCCTCCATACAGCTTATTGACATCAGTTACACAGGTCATGCTGTGCCAACTTCACCCGTCTTTGGTGCTGCCTTTCCCATTTCTATAAACAAAAAGTAACCACTACCCAGGGAGGGCTTCTCCTTCTATAGTAATTTTTTAACTAAAAGATTTTCAATGTAGAAAAATTCCAAGTTAATTAAATTTTAGGTAGCAACTAAAATATTTAAGCTCTAGTTACTCTTTAAAGTTTAGAACTTCGTATTTTTAACGATAGTGAATCACATCTTGGCCCTTCCGCTTCTCCTCTTTCTAGGAAAACTTGGGTGTCTCTACCTCTGATCTCATTATGTGTAGTATTTTTTCCTTTTATCTTATCTCTGTCTGTCTCTTAAAAAAAAAAAAAAAACCAAATCCATTAAGGTCAAGTCCATTCTGACATATAGCGACGCTATAGGACACAGCAGAACTGCCCCATAGAATTTCCAAGGAGCGTCTGGTGGATGCAAACTGCCGACCTTTTGGTTAGCAGCACCAGGGCTCCTGGTATAAGATGAAAATATAATTATATATGTCTTATTATTTGTATCCACTGAATATTTCACTATTTCATATTTTTAAAATTTCAAGTGTTGTTGTTGTTAGGCGCTGTTGAGTTGGTTCCAACTCACAGCAACCCCATATACAACAGAACGGAACACTGCCCAGTCCCATGCCATCCTCACAATCTTTGCTATGTTTGAGCCCATTGTTGCAGCGCTCAGCTCTTCCAAATTGAAGGGTGTCCATGCCCACCCCCATGCCAGCGGAAACACAAGCAAAGGGGAAGTGAGGCTCCCCCCGCCCCCCCCCCCCACCCGCACCATGTGATCACTCGTAGTTCCCCCTGGTGGGCAGGGGCTCGTGAGGAACAGGGAGTCTCTGTCTCCACGGCCCCAGGAGGCCTTACCTTAGTAGAGATGTTATCCAGGCCCCCACCTCCCCTGGCTGGAGCATCACAGACTAAGGGTGTGGTAGAGGTGCCCTCCGCTGATTCGGATAGCAGCCAGAGTACATGCATGGGTAGGGGGTGATGGGACAGCCACGTCACCAAAGGGAACTGAAAGAAGGCCTGAGTGAGAGACAGGGAGGGAGGACAGAGGCCCAAAGGGCAACTGGGCAGGGCCCCTTCCACGTAGACCCAGCCGGATAGTGGCTGCCTGGGCCTCCAGGAGACTCCTCCTCTATGGCCTGGGCTCTTGGGGTTCCCCAGGCTGGCCTGTTTCTCAGATTCCCCATTTCTGGGAACTTGTTGGCTGGACAGCAGGCTCTGAAACCCAGAAGGATCGAGTAGAATCCTGCCCTACCACTCAGGGACTGTGTAGCCTCAAGCTAGCCACTTACTCTCCTGCAGCCCCATTACCGTTTGTGAAATGACAGTGACAACATCAGTGTCACCGTTTGGCTGTGAGGCTTGAATTCTACAAACATTTACCTCCCGCCTTCCATGCACCACAAACTAGACCAAACCTGGCCTCCCTAGAGATCCCATTCTGTGCCGTGAGATGGACAATCCATACTTGAACAGACCTTTGGTGGGACCTGCAGGCCCTTGGCTTTGCGTGAGAGGAGGGGGAGTCGCCAGAGGGCAGAGGCAGGCATGATCTGACTTAGGTTTAACGCCATCACTCCAGCTCTTGTCTGTAAAGTGTGTCGCAGTTCCTAGCACACACAAGTGGTGGCTTTATTATGATCAATGCCCAGGACGCCACAGCTGGGGCGTTCTCTCACTTTCTTACCACTGCTGCCTCCTAGGATGCAACCTGGAAGTCCCCCTCGCAGCCAGCACTGTCACATGATACCTCTATCTAGATCTGAGTCCCCACCTCTCCAATTCATGCTGTTTCTGTTCTCTTAACGTAAACCGAGGTCAACCTGCCCCACGCGCCCTTGTCCATTCCAGGCCCTGACTCTTCCCTCCCTCACCCTCCCTTGCCCATTAGGAACAAACACTACTTCCCTTTTCTTACTGGTTACCACCTCTCCTCTCCTTGATCCCTATAAGCTGGCCCACCTCCTCGTCTCCACTGACCCGCCTCTGGCTTCGCCCCTCCTCTCCCCTAGCGCCCACAGCCCCAGCAGGTTCAGAAATCCTCAGGGGCTCCCCAGAAACCCCTATCTCTGCTGACCTGTGCCTGCCTCTCTTTCTCATTTAAACTCTCAGATCCTGGGGCGTCACTATTTCTGGATTTCTCACCACCTTTTTAAATAAAGGTGGTGAAGACTTCTGATTTTCCCTGGGGTTTCCTCTCCTAGCTTAGCTTGCTGGGTCTGTGTTAGCATCCTCCCTACTCCGCCCTGCCAGGCCTTGTCTCTCTACTCAGTCTCTCTCTCTCTCTTTCTCTAGGTCCAGGGGCTGCCTACTCGCCCTGCTCCATCCTCACCCTCTAGACACCACATCTCTCGCAGACGTCCTCATCTCCTCCATCATCAGTGCTATAATTGATCTGATTAAAGCGCTCCCAAACTCTGCTTAGCTCAGCATTATGCCCAAACCACTTACCTCTCTCTCCTGGGCTCTGTCACAGAAGGGTCAGGGCCTCCATCCTGCCAGACTCTCTGGAGGACCTCCTTCAGAGCACAAGGAGAAAAAAGGAGGAACCCCAACCTGGACACCCCAGCCTTCCAGGGCTCCTGCAGTGGGACTGGTGGGCCCTGCTTTGTGGGGACAGAGGACAACTCTGTCCCTAGGAACCAGCTGGAACCTCCAGTGTCCTCTCTTGTCCCAGCACAGACGTGGTTGAAGCTGAGTCTGTAGGTGCCCCTGCTGGGGACAGGGGTTGAGGAGAGGGGTCCCACCCTCCCATCGTTCATGTGGGGCACAGGGAGCCTGGGTCACAGGCTCTGGAGTGCTTATCAGCCAGCTCCAACTGAAGCCCCTCAGCTAGAGCTGAGCTAGGGGTCCTTCCTGGGGCAGGACAGTTGTCCCTCTGAGGTGGACAGTGAGGTGGGAGAGGATGAAGGTGGCAGGGACACCTTCATCTGGACCTCAGGGTGGTGGGGGATGACAGAGCCATCTGGAGGGGAGGGGGCTTCAGGAACAGGAGTAGCTGAGGTGTGAGGTCATGGGAGGGCCTTCCTGCCATATGGCGTCTCGACACCTCACTGTGGGTGGGGCATGTCCCAGCTGACCCTCTCTGGCCTCCTGAGAGGTGGGCTGGGGGCAGGCTGGGGTTGAACATTTCAGGTACACAACAACAACAAATACTTGTTTTACACTGTCAAGCACTTCCCATACTTATTGCACTGAATTACCACTATTACCCTCCGTGAGGTAGATATTAGTACCCCCTTGTTAAGAGAAGTAAGCTGAGTGATTTGTTCAAGTTCATGTTGTTGGCAAGTGGCCACTCCATCTTGTTGGCATACTTCAGTTCTTGGAGCTGCCTGTCTGCCCCCTTCCTCAGCCAGCCTCGGTCTGCCTGCTTACCCCCTCTCCTGAGGCGGAGTAGTGGGGCTGGGGTGAGATGGCGGGAGCTGCTCCAGAGAGCACTTGCTATGTTCTGTCGGTTCTGGGCAGCTGCCTCACTGTGACCAGTTGTCCTCCCTGAGTCCCTGGGGCAGGCCAAGCCAGGGAGGCAGGCAGGTCCCCACAACCTAGCAGCTTAGAGCTCCCTGAGGCTATCCCCAAGCTGCCCCCACCCCCGTCTTAGTTATCTAGTGCTGCTATAACAGAAATACCACAAGTGGGTGGCTTTAACAAACAAAAATTTATTTTCTCCCAGTTTAGGAGGCTAGAAGTCTGAATTCAGGATGCTGGCTCTAGGGGAAGGCTTTCTCTCTCTGTTGGCTCTGGAGGAATGTCCTTGTCTCTTTGAGCTTCTGCTCCTGGGTGATCTTCATGTGGCTTGGCATCTCTCTTCCCCCATCTCTGCTTCTTTCGCTTGCTTGTTTAATCTCTTTCATATCTCAGAAGAGATTGACTCAAGACACACCCTACCTTATCCTGCCTCATCCACATAACAAAGACAACCCATTCCCAAATGGGATTATAACCACAGGCACACAGGCTAGGATTTACAACACATATTTTGGGGGACACAATTCAATCCATAACACTCCCCTCCCTCTCTCCTTCCCTCCACTGGGCCCCACACAATGATGGAGAGGCCAGAGAGGGCTGGTGGCTGGGGGCCTCATTCCTCATGTTCAGGACTGGGGTAGTGTCCATGGAGAAAAGGTGGCCCATGTGCCCAGGAACGAAAGAACTTCACTGCTGAACCTGACTCCTGAACTTCCTTCCCTGAAAGAACCTGACTGCTCCCCCCGCGGACCTCACCTCAGGAACAGGCTCATGCAAACCTACAGGGACAGTCTAGGTCCTTTTCAAAAGAATTGAAAGCAGGGACGCAGCCAAAAGGTAGAAACAACCTAAAGGTCCATCAACAGGTGAATGGATAAACAAAATGTGGTGTATCCATACAATGCATTATTTCTCAGCCATAAAAAGAAATGAAGTTCTGATACATGCTACCACATGCATGAACCCTGAAAAC